CAGCTATTATGGCAGGAAATACGTATGGTCTAAGTAGTTCAGGGATTCCCAGGATGTGACCTAGGACTGTCATTATCAAGAGTACCCAGGACTCCATGAGAACCGTAGAATCTTCTGTTCCACCCCAGAACTCCTGCATCAGAAACTACAAGGAGCTGGGGCCAACCAACCTGTGCTTCATCAAAACCTCTAGGTGATTCCAATACACATTCAAGTTTGATACCTTTTAGTCTAATTACTCTTGACTTTTCTCTTCATTCAGTTCTACACAGTCTTTCAGTCCATGTCTTGGTCTCCCTTTGCAGACACTCTTTATAAGAACAGTCATTTCCTAAGTCAGGATTTAGTTTTTGGCCCTTTCCTCAAAAGGTCTGGTCATCTATATTCTTGATTGACCAGCAAATTTAAACATCTCTTCAATATCTTGGTAGTTTCATATATTGTATGTCCCACTCTCCCAAAGTAGATTTCTAAATACTAGATTTCTCACACCTCTTTTTTCCTAGTAAGTGGGCATGTGGCCCAAGTTACGCCAACTAGATCCATTCAAATAACAACTGTATATGGGAAGGGCAGCCTGAAGGAATGACCACTTGGGGTGGCGGGGATGTCCAGGACCTGGGGAGTGGTGGCAGATCTTCTGTAGCCTTGTCAATGCCAAGTGATTTTTAGTCATTTTTAGATTCACTTAAGAATCAAATTTTCAAAACTCCAAAGATTATAAGAATTAATCTGATAACTCAACCAAGATCTAATTAAACTGTCATTCAGAACTTTTACAGCTCAGATCCACCAAAATATGTGAAAGGTCTGAAGCAACTAGCTGGGACCACCTTGAGACCAGTAGTCTCATCACATGGTTGGGCACAGCTCCTGGTTCCATTGTTCCCAACTGAGTAGCAAGCATCAAGTCTAGTTATTTGCCCCTACTATCAATATTCTTTTGATGATGGAAGCTTTAAAATATGTTTTAATATATACTTCAATAATTCTCACTGCTCTTATCTTTTAGAATCTTTACTCCATATGAATATTTTCCATATGAATATTTTAGCATTTTATTTTTAAATTTCAAATTGATATAAAGTTTGCTTAAATAATACAATCTGCCATATATACTTTATTCGTAACAAAAATTACATGTGCTTCAAGTTAGCTCCTTCAGACCTTTCACATATTTTAGTGGCTCTGAGCTGTAAAAGTTCTTAATGACAGATTATTTAGATTTTGATTAAGTTATCAAATTAACAGAGTGTTTGGAGGTTTTTATTTGATTCTTAGGTGAATCTAAAAAAATGATTAAGAATTGAAAATATATATCAAAATTAAAGATACTTTTAAATTATTAATCACACTACTGTAACAAAAAGATTATTTCCATTTTTTTGCTCAATACCTTGCAATCTTCATCCACATGCCCCTGCATTTTAGTTTGTATTGTTTTCATTAATTGCATCAAAATTTTTCTCCAGGTTGATATGTAATCTACATAATTGTCATTTGGAAAGAATGAAAATATTCTGAAATGTGTCAACATTTATTACATTATTACCTATGACTAGTCACTAAATTTTCTTCCACGTTGTGTACCCCACAACACCCTGACCTTCCCATGGCCCCACACAAGATAACAATTTTTCTAAATGTGGGTCTATCATCCCCATCCATTTCTATTCTTTTTCACGCAAATAGAAATGTATGTACTTCTGAGCTGAATTCAGTATTGTTTTGCATTTTAAACTTTATCCCTATCCAGTATCATTGTGTATGTATTTCTCTGCAACTTAAAACTTTCACCCAAAACTATGTTGTAAGGATCATCTGGGTGCTCTAGTTTCCTAATTTCCACTGCAATATACCACCTACTATTTGATTTTATCATAATTTATTTATACATTCTTTTCTTATTGAATACTTAGGCTGTTTATTTTTTTTGCTATTACAAATGCTATTATAACTCTTGTAAATACATCGTGTGCTTGTGTAGAAGTTTCTCTAAGGATGTAGAAATAGATTGCTGATTCATAGGTTATTGTATCTTTAATTTTCTAGTTGTTGCCATATTATTGTGAAGGCAGTTATTCCATTTTATTCTCTCACCATCAGTTCTGAGACTCTAATAATAGGTATCCTCTGACTTATAATGGTTTGCCAATCTGGTGAATATTTCATTTTGATTTTACATTGCAATTTCCTAATCACTAGAAGAGTTAAGCCTCTTTTGTATATTTATTAGCTATTCATGTTTCCTCCTCTGAAAATTGCATGTATTTTTCCCATTTTTCTGTTGGGCCGTATCAGGGTTTTCTGATTCATCTGAAGAAGTTTACATACACATGATATCCCTCCTCAGGGCCAATCAGAGACAAACAAGTGTCTTTTTCATCTTCCTTAGCTATCAGATGCAGATGTTTATCACACTGTTTTACACAGAAGATCTACCATAAGGAATTGCTTCATCCAGAAGCCTCAGGTCCAGCTCCGCATCCCACACAGGCCCAAGAATTTGTCACCTATTCCCCAACTCCAACTTCCACTCTAAACAAATGTCTTCAGAATATTCTGGGCTTGCTTAACATCCTGGTTTTCTAATTCATCTTTTTGGCCTCTGTGAAAATTCCCTACTTTCTTCCAAGTTCAACGATGCCTTTCAATGGATAGTTGTATTTTATCTAGCAAATGGTCTTTCATGATATCTGATTTCCATTTTGCTAGAATTTCAAGTTCTGCGTTTTACATTTGTAACCCATAGTATGGATTTACCATAATATAATTAACTATTTTTCTGTTAATGCACACTTAGATTTTTAATTTTTTAGTGTTAACAGAAATGCCTCAAGAAATCCTGTGACTGTATTATTGTGCCTACATGAAAATCTTCCTATTGCATATATTTCTAGAAGCAGACTGGCTGTTTCAAAGGGTATATGCACTTTTAGTTTTCTAATCAAAAATCGGGATAAATTAATATTTCCAGGAACACTAAATAATAGTGACTGTGTTTTCATAACCTTATCAGTACTAAATCCTACCAATCTTTATCTGAAATTCCTATTATTATTTCTCCTCCTGCCCCTCCTCTCCCTCCTCCCCCCTCCTCCTGCCCCTCCTACCCGTCCTCCCCCCTCCTCCTGCCCCTCCTACCCCTCTTCCCCCCTCCTCCTGCCCCTCCCACTCCTTTTCCTCCTCCTCCTCCCGAATTTCTATTAATATTTCTCCTCCTCCTCCTTCTTCTTCATTGGCTATTGATATGCTTTACTTGTATTTTTATTGTACTGTATGTGTATGTTTTACCGCTTTGAAAAGGTAATTTTCTTATCCAGGTATTAATCCTTTTCCATAATCTGATTCAAATATTTTCTTCCAGTCTATTTTGTCTTTCAATTTTATCCATAATAAACATCTTTTCCATATAAACATTTCAAATTTATGTCACTTCAAATATAACATTTTTACCTTTATTTCCTTTTCTTTCTCAAGATAATAGAAACATTACACTATAATTTCTTTTGACTTTTTTAAGTTTTAAAAACCAATCCAAAAGTTGATTTTGTGTGATATAAGGCAAATATCAAAGTTGTTTTCAAATCAATAATTATCCCAATATCATTCAACACTCTGTATTTCCCTCACTAGCTTGAAATCATATTCAAGGTCATATATATAAATAGGTATATATATATGCATATATATATATACACACATACACAAACACATGTATACACACATATATTCATATATGTACATACACATACACACACACACACACACACACACACACACATATATATATATAGGGGTGTGTGTGTGTGTATGCCTGCATGGGATATGAAATTTTTTTCTCCAGTCATTTAATTGGTTTACTTTTTCCTAAGGCAATATCATGTTGTTTTGATTTTTGTGACTTTATAATATATTTTGATTTTCTTGTGATTGTGTTTTTGATTGTGGTAACATCCCAATCAAAAGAGGAGCCTCCTTTCAAAATTCTCTTGACCTTTATTGAGCATGTCCAGGTGTATTTTAGAATCATTATCTGGTCAAGATCCTCCAAAAAGGATTTTATTTTCTTATTTTCTAAACAGACACACACTTTCCTTAACCAAATTGGATGCTAGAAAGATCCTTTATGATTCAATTAGAAGTCCTAAAAATTGAGTCCTCAGGAAGAAATAAAAGATAATAACAACAAAACACCCACCATGATCACTTTTTTTTCAAAGGCTTAATAAACATTATCTAATTTCTTCCTTTAAACAACCCTGCTAGCGATGTTTTAATAAATTCACTTTAACAGCGAAGAAACTGAACTTGGGGGAGCTTTATCAGCTGAGAGACTGCCCAGCTAGAAAGGTAGCAAAGCAGAGATTACAACTGACCCTCAAGCTAAAACACTTCACCTCTAGTTTCTGTTCTCTGTAGAGCAGCAGTTCCCCCAAAGTGCCGTCCCTGAACCAGCAGCAGCAGGATCACCTGAGAATATGTTAGAAATGCAAATTCCCTGGCCACCTGGACCTACCAAATCGAAAAGCGTGGGCATAAGATCCAGCAATCTGTGTTGTACAAACACTTCAGGTGTTCTGATGAAGCAAAGTTTGAGAACCACTGATCTAGAATCCAAAGGCTGAAGAGTAATAAGAGGATACAAGAAAAAGTACATGGAAAAAAAATAAAAAATAAACACAGAAAAGAAGAGCATTCACTGAAATGTATGAGAAGAAATGCTACAGACATTCAGGGTTTATTAAATGACTACCGTGTTGTCAACAACAGCCACTACACGGCTTTTAAGAAACACAAAACAGAAAGTGCTTAGCTAAAAGGCATGCCTTATTCTTTCAGATTAGAAATGCTGAGAAACCACTGAACCAGAGTGTATAAAAATCTAAGATCTTTTGTCTTATTTCTCTGAGATTTACAATCAAGAAATGCATTAGCAATCCTTGGCTAATACATAACTGCCTGTCCATATGCACTTTGATCTCCTTCAGAAGCCAGACCATAAACAGGTCTGAGCACCTGAGTGTGGTAGAAGCTTGGAAAACCCCTGAGAAGAAGAAAACATCTTGAGACATAACAGAAAATAAGAGATTGTTGAGAAACAGCAGCATACAATAACAATGCAGCTGGAAGGCTGAGGAGATGGGGTAAGGGCCAAGGGAACAAAGAAAGACTGACAGTGTGGACGCCAGGGAGCGTGGGCCAGCAGCACCATCTGGGGTGGTAAGGTAAGCCATATGCCCTGTGCATTTGGGGCCTTCCACAGCCGTCTCGGTGATTAAAAAGGGAACAAAAAATAACTTTTTTATTACTATTTTTGAATTGCATACATTTACCATTATTTGCAGTAACATACAGTTTGTCCAAATTTTCATTTAGTGAAATTAGCGCATCTAACTAGCTGGATTTGCCCATGCAAAGAGGACTTGGTGGGTTCAGGTGTTGGGCTCTTTGTAAGAATTACCTATTAATTAAGTGATTAAAAATAATTAGCCTTTCGGTTGGGTATCCTGTCAGCATTAGGGATAAATTCTTGGAGAAAACAGACTGTGAAAAGAACAGGCTCGGATAGAAAGCATTTAAGATAGTCCCTGGGTCTCTCATTCGGTAGTGAGACGCCTGCTTGGCTTGGAAACAATCAGCCCACAGGATTTTCAAAATCACTCTATGAACAGGAAGACTGTTACTATCACAGATCTTCGCCATCCTCTTGGAATTTAAAGCAGCATTTTCAAGGTTTATTATTTGTATTGGTTTTAATAGGATTCTTTTATGAACCTTTTTAATGAGGAGTATTCAATTATTGCTTCCTGAAAACATTGCTATAATATCGGATTCCGCGCTGTGAGGCCTCGTTTGGTTAATGTGTATGTGATCTGAATGGAAAATAAAAGAACTATTAAATAGCCATTTCTTTCCTTTAATGTATCCAGCTTTCTTTCTGCTTATGTTGGTGGATAGTGAATGTATGCACACACTCCATCTTTCTACTTTGGAAAGCCACTGGATTTAAAAAGAAAACGTACTTAAATGTCAAAATCCTTATCATGTGATGTTTATCAGATAAGGCCTTTTTCAAACTAAAACCTTCGGTCTTTCTTTTAACAAATCAGAAAGTATTGGGCAGAAGTTTTCTAAACCCAAGGGATGATTAATTAGAGAGGGCGCCCCTGGCAAAGCTCAAAAATTGGAAAACAAATGTGCACATTTAATATGTAAAGCTCAATCTGGAGTTTAAAACTGGGCGCAGCAACTTGGAGTATGTGTCTCAAGGCATGGCTCAAGTACTCTGCTGAAGAATCTAAATGATAACCCTGAAGAAAGAAACTCAGATTGTTAATCCACATTTAATCACCAATCAGGAGAACTTTTGCAAATAGTTGATAAAACAGACCAGCATGTGACTTGAGTTGAAAGTGTTACATGCCTTTTATACATCTTTAATTACAGCTATGAAACTTCACATGAGCTCATGTGCTAGTAGATAATATTATCCTGTCAACATTAGGGATAAATTCTTTTTTTTTTAATAGAGATGGGGCCTTACTATGCTGCCCAGGCTGGAGTGCAGTGGCTATTCACAGGCACAATCCCACTTCTCATCAGCATGGGAGTTTTTGACCTGCTCTGTTTCCAACATGGGCCAGTTCACCCCTCCTCAGGCAACCTGGTGGTCCCCTGCTCCCGGGAGGTCACCATATTGATGCCAAACTTAGTGTGGACGCCCAATCAGCATAGCACACTACAGCCCAGAACTCCTCAACTGAAGCAATCCTGCCACCTCAGCCTCCCAAGTAGCTGGGACTACAGGCACGCACCACCGTGCCCGACAGGGATAAATTCTTAGAGAAAACTGACTGTCAAAGGCACAGGCTTGGATGAATGCATTTAAAACCATCACTGCTCAGTGAGGATGTGTGTAACAACAACAAAAAAAATCACCGGGTCTTTCATTTGGTAGTTAGGTGTCTGCTTGGCTTAGAAAAATTCAGCCCACAAGATTGAGGCAGTTTGATATGTGCCACCCGCACCCTGATTCCTCCACTTACCCGGCCCCATCACTATTCTTTATTTATTTATTTATTTATTATTTATTTATTTATTTTTGAGACAGAGTCTTGCTCTTGTTGCCCAGGCTGGAGTGCAGTGACTCAATCTTGGCTCACTGCAACCTCTGCCTCCCAGAATCAACCGATACTCTTGCCTCAGCCTCCTAGGTAGCTGGGATTACAGGTGCCTGCGACCACACCCGGCTAATTTTTTGTATTTTTAGTGGAGACAGGGTTTCACCATTTTGGCCAGGCACGAGCCACTGTGCCCGGCCCATCCCCATTCTTTTGATCCTAACTGTTGTCCTCTTCTCAGTGGAAGGTAAAGTGCTATACCAATCCAACCTCAAGGTGTCTCCTGGCCTCACTACCCCACTCTAACCAGGGTGCCGCCCTCCGTCTTATAGAATTTCCGGCTCTAACATAATATAAATGGCAAGTACTATTGGGTTTTTTGCCATTATTATTGTTACTATGATTATTGTAATTGTTCCCTGATGGGGTTAAAGAACCTCAATATTTCCCATTGTAGTTCTCTCCCTCCTGCTGAGCTGGAAATTACCACCTCTTTATACCAACTTTTTATTCACCACCAAAGGGATTCTTTGGTATAGGGATATTGTTATTAAAATATATTTTATAACAGCATAATGATTTGGTTAATATGATTATCCTACTTAAATTGAAGGCCAAGAGATGCCATGTAATTTCCTACAGTCAAAACCAAGTTAGAATTTATATGCCCTGAGTTTCTTGCCAGTAGTCAAGCCAGCTATAAAATAAAAAAGACAGTGCCAGACAAAATATACTTATTCTGGAGTAAGGCGAATTTATATCAATAAACTTTCCTTATTAGTTTGACAGAACATTGCACCTTAGCACTCATTCTTCACCTACTAGACAATTCTATTGCTACTGAAAAGGCTCAGCAGGAAAGGAAATGCCCCATCATCAAGAATGTGGTCCAGTTTAACCAGCCTTTACTGAATGCACACCAGTAAAAAGATACCCAAGCCCACGGATGTGCAATTTTTTCAAAATTGAACAAAGCTTGTCCCTGCTCTTAAACACTTTCCAAGATGGTCACATGTTTTCATTTTTCCCAGTATTGGAGCAAGTCCCTCAAATTACTCACCCAGTCTGTTAACACCTGTTACAAGCACCCTTTCATGTAAATAGGCTAAGGGATGCCTATGATCCACCCATCAGCCTCTGGGACGCTGATCTTTACCATACTCAAATCCCTGAGCTCATCCTTTTCTGTTCCCACTTTGTCTAGTGACAACAGGAGCAACCAACCAATCTCGTTATACTCATTAGTTTGCCAAAAGTGTAACAAAGTATCATATAAAGTCATTCTGATCTTTACTTCCTATAAGTGGTTAAGAACATCAAATGGTGCTATTCTGTGCATCGCTATCACCAGAGCACAACAGGTACTATCAATGCTGTCTTTACTGCTGGAAATACTGTAGAGTTACGAGCATCTCTAAATACAACTACATTAGAGAGCCAATTCCAGAAACCCCAGAACCAATTCAGAAAGCTCATTCTTAAGATTCTGTTCCTCTAGACTCCATACCAAAATGTGTATTAAGATTCTCTAGAGAACAGAACTCTGTGTGTGTGTGTGTGTATGTGTGTGTGTGTGTCTGTGTGCTATGCACACACACGCATGTATGTGTGCAGAGAGAGAGAGATTTACTATAAGGAATTGGCTGATGCAATATGAGGGTTGACAAGCCCCAAGATATGCAGGCTAAGAGAGTCAGCAAGCTCGGAGAGGTGATGGTATAGCTCCAGTCCAAGTCTGAAGGCCCAAGAAGCAAGAGAGCTGATGGTATAAGTTTTGGTCTCAGTTCAAGTCCAAACGCAGGAAGAGACTGATGTCCCAACTCAAAGGAAGTCAAGCAGGGAGAGTGAATTCTTCCTTACTCGGCCTTCTCTTTTTATTCAGTCTTCAACTGATCAGATGAGGCCTGGGGACACTGTGCAGGGCAATCAGCTATACCCGGTTTACAAAATTAAATGTTAATCTTATCCAGAAATACGCTCACAAACACACACAGAAAAAATGTTTAAACAAATATCTGGGCACCCTGTGACACAAAATCAATCATTACAAAACATTTTAGATTCATCTATATTAGTTTACCATTTACCAATTCTACCATCAATGTGTTCTATTCTCTGAAGAGGAGCTGAGCAGAAATTCTCCAAATATTAATATTACCAAAAAATGTTCTAGATTGAAACAAAATCAGATCAAGCAATAGTTTTGGATGCCAAATGTGCAAGAGGCATGCTCAGCACCAACAGTTCTTCTCTGTTGATGCAATTATACATCAATCATAAATACAGGTTTTCTGCTCCTCCAATTCTGCAGACAGCCACATCTTTTGCAGTGCCAGCCGTGTCCCTGAGACACCATGGTTGAAGTGAAGGCCAGAGTAAACAGATTTGTCCTTATTGGGTGCCTGGTCACTAGAACTACTTTTAACTCTGGCGAAGTGAATATTGTTACCTTCGATGACCTCTTCATTCACCTCACCTACATGGGCCACATTTTCCAGTGATTCCATCCATGGCAAGTTCCACGCACCATCAAAGTTGAGAATGGGAAGCTTGTCATCTAAGGCAATCCCATTACCATCTTCCAGGAGCAAGATCCCATCCAAATCAAACAGGGAGGTGCCAGTGCTGATTATGCTGTGGAATCTACAAGCATCTTTACTACATTGGAGAAGGCTGGGGCTCACTTAGAAGGGTCATGATTTCTGCCCATTTTGCTGATGCCTCCATGTTTGTAATGGGTGTGAATCATGAGAAAAACAAACAAAAACCTCACAATCATCAGCAATGCATCCTGTTCCATCAACTGCTTAGCAGCCCCAGCCAATATGATCCATGACAACTTTGGCATCATGGAGGGATTATGACCACAGTTCATGCCATCACTGTCACCCAGAAGATGAAGACAGCCCCTCTGGGAAACTGGCATGACAGCTGTGGAGCTCTACAGAACATCATCCCTGCAATTAACCAGTGCTCCCTCGGCAAGGTCATCCCCACACTAAATGAGAAGCTCACTGGCATGGCCTTCTGTGTCCCCCTGCCAACATGTTGGTTGTGGAGCTGACCTGCCATCTGAAGAAACCTGCCAAATACGGTAACATCAA